TAAAAGAGACAAAGATCCCACATTTAGCCTTACAGGCTTACAGGGCAAGCGTGGTTCGTGAGCACCTATGCTGCACTCAAGCAAAGAGCCCCCCTTTAGCCTGGCAGGCTGCTGTGGCAAGTGCTGCTAGAGAGCAATGATGAAACTGGCACAGCACGCAAGGGGGTGGGTGGCTGACGCCACGACCGGCCGCTTTTGTCTCACCAGTGCTAATATTTACCTAATGTACCAGATACTCATTTAAAGCAGAGTCGAAGAACAAATGTGACCTAAGGTCTTCGCTCATTTACCAGCTTCACATTCATTATTGCTGTACAAATACTGGAGGAAGGGCCTTTGCTATTGATGCCCCCAGGGTCTGGAATGCAATTGCCAATAAACTGCAACTTGAATTACTACCTGTGAGATCTTCACTCAAAACTGCTCTAGAGGAGTCGTACACCCCTAGCTGCCACTGCTATTCAGTGGCCTAAAATCAAATGTTTCGCTCCGGATGACCGCTGCAAAGTATGATCTTGTGTTTTGATTTAGTGTGCTGATCTTTAAAGGTGCATTGAAAAATGTTGATACTCCTACTGATGTTCCTGCTGTTGTGGAGTGACTCATGCAGCCAGCTATGGCTATAGGGTTTGGTGGTACATGTTGTTTATGTCGTTTATTGTGAGATTTCGGTCACAGTTCCTATGATCACTGTTACATTGCTTTTATGGCTTTATTTTGGTGATTTAAAAAAAAAATTGGTTTGACCATATTTGTTTGTTGTAGTATGGAGTTAGACTGATGGCTTTAATCGAAGTTGTCTTGTGGTTGTTGTTGTTTGACTTGCATTCCACTGGGACTTTTGCACACAACGTTGGTATACGGTGCTTTTTCTGGAAGTTTTTGCTGTTTTTTGCTGTTTTTTCCTGGATTTTTATGTTTGCGCGTAGTCACTTTAAGATGTTTTCTTGTTCGTGTTTTTGTTTTTTGTTTGTTGCAGTTGCACCCGAATCAAGCGCCGAATGGCTCACAGGGCTAATCGAAATAAATGAAACTGAAAACTGAAACTAACCTAGGGAGAGGCCCAGGATCAGTTCAAAGATATGCCACTGTTATTGAGCAGATATGAAACTCTGGTTGCTGAGTTCGTCGTGCACTGCGCCCCATTGACACATGCTCCCCACACAGACACACACACACATTCACGCTGATAAGTGAGTCTTGGTGCAACCTCCCTGGCATTTTGCAGGCCGCCAATGTATGTTCTAGGTTCAAACCCGGTTTTTTAGGTGTCGTGAGTTGATGGTTTCAGCCTGGTCACCAATCACCACATGAACACAACCCATCACGTTAAGTTTGGTTTTGCACTTAAGTTTGTTAAATAACATTTCTTGTGACGAATAATACTTTCAGTGGCGGAGCGGGTGGGAAAGAGCTGCCCCCTACTGTGCAAAACAGCTCACTGAAGGAATCTCAGAGGTGGCTCTGTAGTTTCCGCTTCCCTGGGCCATTCTTTCACAGTGAGCGTCACACTGCTCTGTGAGAGATCCGAATTGATACTTTGTCTCACAACGTGACACTGATAGCACAACTGGATTTAGCAACTGAAATTAGCATCCCCCAGGCATTAACGGGATGGTGCCTCGAGCTCGCTGAGATCGTTTATCCCACGGTGGACGCTGGGGTCGTGGATAACACTGGGGAGTTAACACAGGTGCACGGACAGGGCCGGTATTCCAATATACATTTAACCCGCTGTTTAAATACCACAGGCAAATAAAAAGTTAAATCCAAATGTTAGGTTCCTCCACCCCAACCCGAATCTCGCTAAACCCCAATATAACTGTATTTCATTAACATTTAAACATATCACGGGAGGACATTCTCTCCGGCGCTATGAAGCTGTTACATTCCAAAGATGCTCTGCACGGTTGTCACAATATTCCAACTTGCCTATCAAGAAACCCAGCAGTGGAGGTGAGTACACCATGGTTAGTTTATAGGCAGGTCGCGTGTCGGGGCTCAAGTGTGGGTACTCTTAACCTTTCAAAGATGTTTGGCCAACGTGGAAGAGTTGGCCATACCACCTCGACAGGGTCCCTCAAGGGCCCCCCCAAGTGGAGCAGTGTTGCTTGCAAGAAATTGCAGCCCTGCACCTTTACCTTAATTCATTGCTCCAACAAACAAAAATTCACAAGACGAAATTGGCCACTTATCACAAACAGGATCCTCTTGAAAAGCCTCCGCACTCGGCGAATAAAAATAAAACTGAACATAGATAATGTTTATAGTAATAGGTTTTACCCTTTTAACTGGCACAAAAACTGACACCTTTATTCAAGGCATCATGTTTGCAATAACCACAACACAAGCAGTCAAAATGCAAACAAAAGAGACAACTCTGATAATAATATGCACTGTCCTTGAATTTGAATGGTCCACACCCAAGACGGCTTTCTTAGAGCCTAGTCTCCACTGGTGTTGGATCAGAAGACGCCAAAAGGCGTACAACTCAAAAACAGCACACTATCAATACTTTGATAGTGCGCTGTTTTTGAGTTGTACGTCTTCTGGTCCAACACCAGTGGAGACTAGGCTCTAAGAAAAGCCGTCTCGGGTGTGGACCATTCAAATTCAAGGACAGTGCATATTATTATCAGAGTTGTCTCTTTTGTTTGCATTTTGACTGCTTGTGTTGTGGTTATTGCAAACATGATGCCTTGAATAAAGGTGTCAGTTTTTGTGCCAGTTAAAAGGGTAAAACCTATTACTATATCTTGTTACTGGCAAAGGAGGTCTCATAAAATAGATAATGTTCCCAATATTTAGGTTTCCGTTTGGCATCACTAAAAATATTAAACAGTTTTGAGTCACAATAAATGCCTCAAATGAGGCCTTTCCACCAGCAGAGACACGAGCAAGAATTGTTGATGGCTATACCTTTACCGGTTACCTTTACCTTTAAATAAATCAACAGGTTTAAGCAGTAGGAAAATGGCTCGTTGAGCTGTGGATGGGTGCTTATTTCACACGTTAATGGGAATAATGTCTTGGAAATGTAAACCGGCTGCGGAGTGTGTGTGAGGCTTGGGAGCCACATCTCTGGGGATCATGGACCTGCTTTACGTGGGCCCTGCACCCCCGTTTCTCCCTCCCCTTAAAAAAAGAAATTCTTCGTTTATGCTCCATGTGCTGCTGGCATGCCCTGTCATTTTAAGTGGGTCTCCTCCGAGCCTCTCGGTCGGAGAAGGCACTAAATTATTGAATTACACATTTATGACACATGAATAACTAATGGTTAGATTCATGGCTGGGATGGTAGTTTATGATTAATAGGCTTTTTATGAATCATTTAGGACATCTTACATTGCCCCTTTCTAAGTGATGCACTGCCGTGGGCATCGGTGTCACTATCGAGTGCTTAATTTGATTCATTTTCCACGTTTGCCGAAGCTGTCGTTCTCCTCTGCTAATTGTGCGTGCGCAGTGGTCGGACGGACGGACGGACGGAGAGCGCCGGGCGGTGGGCGCGCGGGACCAGCTGGCGCACGCCCAGAGCCAGCACGCCGTCTTTCTGCTAGTTGGTGAGCGCCGGTGACCCCAAAGTCTGTGCTGTTTTGACTGCGACCTCTCGCCGTCGCCCACCCTGCACCGACAGCCGGGGTAGGAATTTCAAGCACGTTTGGGGTGCGACCGGACGTTAGTACAAACGTTTGCGTGAGACGCATTTGAAATCGCTGGGTGACTTGTATAGAGACTCGTAAACTTGCACAGAGACCCACGGACTCGCATTGTGCCCGTGGACTCGCACAGAGAGCACGGCATAGTGCATTGTGGGAGCCAGCCTTTTTAAGTCAACTGACATGGCATGTGCCCAGGAAAACCTCAAACTAGGGATGGCCGCGTTGATTCCTGGGGCTGGTTAGAGTAGTTTATTTTATTTACAGGAATGCATTTAAACTATCGCGCTTCCGTGAGTAGAAGTTTTGTTTTGGTAACAAAGTAAGCCAAAATGCCACCCAGTTGTGTTTTGCGTTACGCGATGGAAACAAGAGCTGGGCACACACAGAAGAGCTGCCACTGGTTGCGTGCATTACGGAGCGATGCCTTGCTGCAGCGATTAGGGTGTTGGGTGGTTGTGCGGAGTGGAGATGCGACACCTGCTCTTGCACGGCCACAGCCTTCCAGCGCTTCTGGGAGAGAGAATCCACCCGCAAATCTCGCCGAGCCTTCCCAGCCGTGCCACGTAGATTGCGTGTTCGCCCACAGCCATGTCGATGCAAAGGAAAGCACACGCATGGCCCGCTGTGTACTGTCCCCATTCTGTTATTTCATAGCTCCCCCTGGGCTTGCGCGCACAGAGATTGTACATGAGCAGAGGTTTATTGATGAACGGAAAGATTTGCCGTGACTGTGATAGGGTCTAAATCGGCGTGTTCCTTTCTGCCTGCGGGTCATTAGGAGAAACTGATCATGGCTGTGCTCTGTAGTCTCGATAAAGGAGTCAATAAGAATCGCACGCATCCGCCCGCCCCTGTGCTGTAGGATGATTGCTGTGAGTTGTTTATTACTTAAAAAGAAAAAACTGAACTTTTAAAGCGACCAAGGAAATGTATCATCATCCATAAATTGTACACATGCAATTCCTACATTTGAAATGTGCATGCACAGCCCTTTTGACAATTCACTGCTGGATGAGGTGCCTCCTGAAGCGGACATGAATACAGGACTATAATAGATGTATATGTACTGCCCTCTGGTGCCCAATGTCGACCCGCAGCAGCCTATAATACCTGTTGTGTACAACGGTTGTCCATCCAAGTGCCATCCAGGTACAACCTACTTAAGTTCTGAGATCTGACAAGGTTGGGCACATTCCGGGTGATTCGGCCGTACCCTCGTACAAGCTGAACGCTGCGTGAGACTTCCGTGCGGCCGTGCGAGCCGCTTGCCTTGCGGTTGTCCGAGCCGCGCGCCGTATCGCATGTGCCGCTGCTGAAGCAGGAGGAGGCGGAGGCCCTGAAGGTGGAGGCGGCGCGGCTGGAGGAGCTGCTGCTGCTGCTACTGCTGCCGCAGAAGGGTCACGAGGCGACGACGCGGAGGGCCGCCAGTCGCACGTCGACACGATCCCGCTGGCCTGGGAGCGCCGCACTGCGCAGGGAGAGGTGAGCGTCGCTCGAAGATGGCAACGCAGCGTAAAACCGGTCGGCACTGTGGACGGCGCCCAGGTTTTTCCCACGTGATACGATACGGTTTGGATGTACGTAAGCCAACATATGCGACCGCACCTGGAGATGCTGTACAGGAAACGGTGGGCATAGTTATCGAGTGAAAGAGAGAGAGGCAGGTGGTCATAAGCAGTGGGAATAAAGGAAAGTCATAGGAACCTATAGACTTAGACAGAGACTCAAATATTTGCATTTGAGAGCTATATATTTACATAGACTGTAACACAGTACTGTTTGGATTTATATAGTGCATACAGCTGACCGCATGACAGGGCACTGTATAGAACAAGGTGGGCATACTTATTCTACAGAGTGACAGTCGGTCATACAGTGTAAGAAAGAGGAAATTGGAGATCCTTAACTTGAACAGGGCTAGGGAGTCGACAGCACGGATGGCTGGGGAATGGGGATGGTGCTCATTATGTACATGCCAGCGGTAGAAATTCCACATTCTCATAGTGGGTGCCTTTCTTGGAATGGCCACAGTTTATTTTCCACAGAGTCAGTGCTCACTTCATTGACCTCCCCCCAAAGAGATCGCAGGCTGAGTTGTCCCTATTGGTGTTTGAACTTAAGGCCTTCTGATTGTGCATTGAGATGTGTCAGGGCCATTTTAAATGAAAGATGTGATTTTAAATCTAGTGTCATTGTTATAATTTCTACATGCTTATGTAGAATATAAAGAGCCCGAATGAGGAATGTGGATAAGGGAGCAAACACAAGTGAGAGACGTTGTACTTGCGATGGAGAAACGTCATTGTAGTTGGGTAGCTCGCATTGCCAGAAGGGACGAGGTAGCCAATAGACTGACAAAAGAGTGGCAGCAAAAGGAGAGCACCTCAACCGTGGAGATGGAGCGAGGATATCAAGCTCATGCGCTGGAGCGGACGAATTGTTGCATCCCGTGACGGTGAAGGATAGCGACAGCTTGTGGAGGCCTTCACCCAGCAGTGGATAGACCATATTCGTAATACGTTCACACCACACACGCACGTGTGTGCGAGTAGTCTACATACGTAGAGTTTGTTGTTCTTTGTACGTTTTCAATTTTCTTTGTGCGGAGGCTGTTTTGACCGGAGGCTACACTGAGCGGATCACGTTGGGTGCAGCGTCTCTGCCCAGTGACGTGGATGCACACGGCTCCGCTTGCACAGAGCACAAGGGAGGATTGTTAATTTAAACACCGAGATGAGAAAGAAATGTATAAATCATTCGAATACGTGCAGCGAGAAGGGGTGGGGGGGTGGGGGTGGTCGGGGGGGGGGGTCATCGTGTCACTTTATAATTACACGAACATCTCACAGGTCGTGTTTCCTGTAATAATACAAATAAATATTTAACAGAAAAATCATTTCTTAAAAAAACAGAAAGCAAATATGAAGCCCGCCGCTTGGCCCGTCCCGATGACTGCCATCCATCATTCTGCTGAAAGCGACTCATTGCTATGCCATGCGCTCGCCCCGCGGCAACACAGCAGCCTTCTAATATTCACCACGCGCGGCGCGCCTTACTTAATGCTGACATCGCTCTCAATTGGTAATAACAGCAATCTGTAGGAAAACCAAAGACTGCCCGACATGAACGTGCCCTTAACGGTCGCCCAGCTGTGTGCTCCGTGGAGTCAGGGGGCCCGAGGTCGTTGTTGGGGCCTTCAATCCCTCCCCGTGGGGGTGTCTCCTGCACTGTGCAGCCTTCCAGCAGAACCTTCGCAAGGAATGGTCTCCCAGTGAATCCACACCCGAATAGAATTTCAAACCATCTGTCTTCTTTTGTGCGGCCAATATAGAATTACAATTGCAAATGCAATTGTGAGTGATTTGACCATTCAGGTGCTATTTAAAAAACATGCGTTTAGAGGGTATGTGGCTACTGCCATAAATTTCCACATGATAAACCACATTGTTGAGCTATCATTTGTGGCCAGGTCGCTTAAAAAAAGAGCTATATCGCTCAGTGGGCCTTACCTGGTAAAATAAAAATAGTTAATTGTCTGAGAGATGCTGAACTGCAGATTCACCCACCCACCACCTTCAAATGGATGTTATCGGGCAGTGCAAGGTTAGAATCACCATTCGTGGCTTCATGCGCAGGTGATGATGTCGGCTTGAGGAGTAGCGACATTACACAGGGTGAATCTCATAGATGTCTCCGAGTAATAAGTAAAGGCGGACAATCTTTGATTTAGACTTCCCATTGTTTGGATAAACGAGGAAAGATGTAGCTTGGTGGATCATGAGGACTGGAGTTTAGGAAACCCTCGTTTGGGGAAAATGCAATCAAACTACAGGTAGCAACATACCGCCCCCTCCCCCCCCTGCAAAAGGGAGAAAACCTGGCAGGTACTTGATGAAAAAGAGGCTAGAGACTCAGTGTGGCTTTCCTAGTTAAACAAGCGTCATAATAATACAATAATAACATTGCATTGACACTGGAATGCAGGTAGAGTTATCCGATTCTGAGCCTCATCAAGGTTTTCAGCCCTTGCCGAGTTGGAGGGAGCTTTCTTTGGGGAGTTGCTGTGGTTTTTTGCTTTGCCATCATGACAGAATCTAGGGCCAACTGCCAATGCTGCTCAACTACACCTGGGGTCAAGGACCTTGGGTTGCCCAGCGAGGCCCCTGGGTCACTGACTCCACCCAACCTGGGTGGTGTTCACCGTGTTCTGTGATTTCATCACTGCAGGGGGTCATGTTGTCTGTGCGGTAACAGCATTTCTTCTGCCTCTGTTATTCTCGCAAAGCAAGCAAGCAAGTGGAGCGACCGTGTTTCTTTCTCTGGGTCAGCAAGAGGATCCGTAAGATTCTTCAACTGAGATCAGAGTTGAAAGTGACACGTGAGACCCTGACTTCATCACCAGCGGAGGTGAGTGGCGCCACCACTTGCGTTTTTGGTGGCAGAGGAGTTGACCTTCGCAGAGAGTGTGCGCACAAAGCCAGGCTGGAGCGGAGGCCACCGCTCGGCCACTCACAATCTATAATGCAAACCTATGTTTGGTGGAAGTACCTTTTGTCACACTCATGAAAGAGGGGCGCGCGCAGTCGAGCAAGACATTAATTCTCGTGATGAATCTCAATGCCAAGAGCGTGACATCGCGGGTCAGTAGTTCATGTGTGAAAGGTCGTATATGCCAAGGCATTCATGATTTTTCGCCCCAAGACGTTAAAAGTGGAAGGACGCCCTTTGATGTATGTGTCTGTCTCTTGCTTTAGTCGTTGCTTTCATCATTCCACGGGGCAGAAAGCCATTATCTCTCTCGCTGAATTCGCCTCTCCCCTCCCATCCTCTGCCCCTTTGTGCTTACATCACAGCCTTTGTGCCACCGTCCTTCCAGTCGCAGCGGCCTCCCCCCGCTCTTGCCGAGCCCCCACCCACAGCCACACGGCTTCATGAAACATGCTGATGGGCCTTCAGACGCCGTGGCCTGTCCACTAGCACGGCGAGAGATGGACTCTCCGCCGCTAGCGCCGGCCCGTGATTCGCTGTGCGATGCTCGGTGCAGGACCGGGTTTATCGATGACGCTGATGATGATAAAGACAGACACAGTATGAAATCAAAGAGGAAACACTTGATGGTATCGGGTCCTTATCAGCTGTGTTCACCGCAGACTCTAAATCTTGTCCTTTTGTGCAATTTTCCATTATTCCTTCCAGTTTAAACATTATATTACTTTATTATCTGACTCATATTTTCGTAAATTGTCTCGCGTACACCGCATCAGCCAGAGGCAAATAGGTTTGTTGTGGTCAAAGTAGCGTGGCCTTTGAGGTGCTGCTGATAGCCCATCGCTCACAGCTGTTTTTTTGTTATCGTAGCTGGTTGCGGCTCTTGCAAGTGAGCGTGTCTGTGCGTGCGTGCGGTGCAATTTGCTGTGCGGAAGACGTATTCTCGCGCGTGCACTTGTTTTCGCCTGCAGGTGACAGTGGATCTTTGTATACGTGTGTGCGTGTGTGGGGAATGGTGGTGCAGTGTTAGTTCAGTGCACTAATTAATCAGAGATCTGGTTTCGATTCCTGGCTATTGCTAACATCTGAACTGGTGTCGGTATTCCCCGAGGTTGACTCAGGCTTAAATGAGTATCCTGGTATATTTTGATCTGATCTGAACGTGGCTCTCTCACTCCAGCGCTGTCCTACCAGACAGTCTCGCTCCCTTCACCTGATGAAGGCCGCTTGTGTTGTGGCCGAAACGTCGTGAGAATATTATTTTGTTATTTTATTTTATCAATTTATTATTTTATTCTCATTCTACGTGACTTTACCGAAAGAACCAAAGAAGGATGTATCCTGGTATAGTTTGTAAACATTGGCGCTTAGAGGCAGCCAGGTGTGGTTCTGGTCATGCCACCCTCTCATGTGCTGTGCTAGCTTTAATAGGTGCTCGCTTACACCACTTGCCCAAACACTGTATGTAGGCTGAATGGGTAATCATGTTTCCTACTGTGTGTTTGTCAGCGCATCTGTCCTATGTGTGTTTACCTGTGCATAAGACACCTTGCGTGCCATCACCGTGCACGTAGCCTGGCACAAGTTCTGTGGTGTTGCCTCTGCCATCCGATGGTGAGCGGCATAGGTCACGATGCGTGTTCGTTTGAAGACAGGATTTACGCTGGGAGGAGCTAACATGCCCGTGCTGTGTGGCCACATGCCCTTGCTCCTGCCGCAGTTTGCAATGCCGGGGAAGGAAATGCACCAGCTGTTCCAGCAGGTGTCGATTCCTGCAGGGCGCGATCGCACTTCGCCATCCTGCGCGGTGCGCGGAGCCAGAGGGGAAAGAGCCTCCACGAGATACAGCGCTAGCTGGAGACCAACTGCGGTGAGGAGGTACTGTGGCAGCCGCCAAGCCCCACCCCCCCCCTTGGTTGCACGGAGCGTGACCTGGCCGCACGTGATATCCTGTTGCAGTGCTTCATCATACGTGGGAATTTATAGTCATCGCCAAATAATCTAAAGGCATGTTTCTAAATGTGGAGAGCTAAACCGAAAAATCCAGGCGACCACGGAAGGAGAACACGTGGACCTCAAATATACAACAGGTGTCATCAGGGTTGGGATGGAACCCACTACCTGCGAACCAGGCAAGGGAGTTAACATCTCCTCACCACCACAGCACTCCAAAAAAAACCTATGACATTCTATTTTGGTTCTGCTTTAATTTGGCTAAATTCACATTCGTGAGTGGTTCATTGTTTCAGTCCCATAATTCCAAATAATACTAAAAATAAAATTTCTAAAATTCGATCAAACAAGATTTTTGCGTCATAGTACCTCTCGACAGAAATGCATGTTATGTGTTTCTCTGCTTGATTAATATACCTGTATGGGGCTGACCAGCATGGTGAAGAATAGTCAAACACATCCCCATGACCGACATGGTGTGGGGAGGCATTGTGAGTTTTTCATTTTGATAATTGGCTCCATTTGAAGATGAACATTCAAGTTATATGACTTTTTTTCACAATTTTATTACGAAGAACGTTTCCCTATCGTATGCACGCTTACCAATGGTTGATTGATGTATACAAAATATTATGAATTTATTTTTGGAATTTCTTTTATTTCACAATATGTTTTATTCTCTTTATACGTGAATGCGGTATGTTCAATAAAACCACGGGGATTTACTTTACGTATTGTTGTAGCTATTGATTTGTTTTCAATAAAACCTTAATTTCTTCTCTTTTCATCTTGAGAGGCGTCTACTGCGTGTGCATGCGTGCATCTCCCTCTGCATGCGTGTCGCCTGTGCGTGTGCGGGTCTGTACTCAACATACGTGTCTGCGTGCGTACACTGTTTCCCGCTGCATCTTCTGCCTCTGGCTATGTACGCGTCTCCACAGACGCTGTGTGTTTTCGTGCATGAGTGTCCAGGCCTTTGCATATGACTTGTTTGTATTTTGTGTGTTTGTGTCTCTGCAGGTTTGTCATTTATTTATGTCCATGTGGCTGCTGTCTGCGTCTCTGGCTATATCGCTGTGTACAACTACAAGCTGAATGTGTCTGTATGTCTGTCTAGCTGTCTGTATCTGCATGCTGCCTATGCACACACGCTACACGTGTCTGTGCCACTCAGTGCATCTGGCCGGCTAGCGGTGGCGCAGTCGTTGGTTCACTGTGCTACGAATCTGGCGAGTTCGATTCCCCCTCACGACCAACACCGGTCACGTTTATTTGAACTGGTCTAGGGCACCCCCTAGGTCGACCCAGCCTTAAATGAGTACCTGATGCGATGTGTAAACATCGCAATTAGCGAGGCAAAGGCGGCCGGGTGTGGTGCTGGCCACCTGTTTCCTCGTGTGCCGTTCCAGCCTTCCTAACAGCAATTACCCCCATAGTCTGTTGAAGGCTATGCGGGGGATCTTTTTCTTCGCCTGTTCGTTCGCAGCCACAGGCGTGTTGGAGGCGGCGCGGCAGTGCCAGCAGTATGCCGTGTCCTCTGAGCGACGGAGCCCCAGCTGACATCCCAACGGCTCCAGGAGCAGCTGGGGCGAGCACAGCATCAAATCCAAAAGGGAATGTTGGAGGAGGTAAAGCCCCCGGCAACGGCTGCTCTCCGGGTCGCGTGCAGGATGCAGCTTTGTTTGGCGGTTTAACGTAAGTAACCTGCGTGGGTTTGTCGCGCCGTACTTGTGCACGCCGCTCTTTTTGAGTGTGCACAATGGCCGAGAGTAATTGCTCGATTGATTTTTTTTCCTTCATTACTTTCTGGCCGAGAGCGACGATGTTCGCTTACTTTTGGAACGTGAACCGGAGGTGGAGCAGTGAAAGGCAACGGACCGTTAATAGTTCCGTTATCTGCTTTATGAGGTCACGATAATGGGAGAGTTGCGGCCCTCCGCTTTTGCTGCCGCACAGCACCATCACATCCGTCGGCGTGGGAACGGTGAATGCCGCGGCTCATGACGCCACCGGTGTCGTCCCCGCAGGTCGCCCAGAGTGAGGGGAACATGCGCGGGTGAGCGAGCCGAACATTGTGCGGCTGCTGCAGAGCCTCTTGGACGTGGACGGCACGGTGGTGATTTTCTGCGAGAAGGCCGAGCGAGAGCTTCGACTCGGAGCTCAGCTGCCCGACGTTCCAGGCCTCTGCATGTCCAAGATCTGCATCCTGCAGGCAGAGAAACAGGCGCTGGGGAGCGAGCTCAAGGAAGCCTCGCAAAAGGTGAGGTGAAGCAGCGGTAGGGTTTTCGCCTGTCCTGCTTTTGCCAGCAACGTCTTTTTCGTTGAGGTGGCTGTCCTGGGAAAGTCTACCCGGGACATTAAAAGTCCTGGTTTTTGGAAGTTGGATAATAATGCATCACTCAAGACAATGCATTTGCATGTAGTTCTCCCCCCTTCTCAAATTGTGAGAGATTCTTCTTCCCATGATAAAGTCCTGGTTATTTGTATCTCATTCAGTTCAATACATGGGGGACCTTCAGTTCAGTACACGGGGGACCTTCAGTTCAGTACATAGGGGGGCCTTCAGTTAAATACGTGGGTGACCTTCATTTCTGTACATGGTGAGCCTTTAATTCTGTACGTGGGGGACCTTCACTTCTGTAGAAGGAGGACCTGCATTTCAGTGCGTGGGGGACCTTCAGTTCATTATATTGGGGCCTTCACCAGACATCGCGACATATGGATGAATTTCTCACTGAAACATGTTCCGGGTCGCTGGTATATTGGAGTAGTAAATAGCAACCAGAGCCACAGAGAAAGGTACAAGCGGTCCTCAACTTAAGTAGAGTCGACTTATGTTAATGCGCACTAACAGCAGGTCGCCAATTGTCACACCTGCGTTGTTACTACTCACGGGGGTCAGACCGCACTTACGGCATGATGCCGGCTAAGGCGCCGGTTCTGTGACAAACTCGCATACGATGCATTGCCCACTCAGTCTGCCTCCTGACACCGCGCTCCGGTGCCAAGCCCCTGCGTATTCTTGATCATTTTTAAAGCATTTTTGTTGTATTTTATTTGTTACATTTTTAAAAAAGGTAAGAACTTTCTAAACACTATTATTGTACTTTATGTATAATTGGTAGTTCATTAAATATACTCTTTGTATTTACGTCTATAAAAAGTTGCATATCAGACCCTTGGTCAGGAACGTAACCCGCTATTATTATGTCATTGTTTCTCTGGGAAAATCGATCTCGACTTACGTCGTTTCCACTTACGGCAACTTTTATAGGAACGTAACCTGACGTAGGTTCCGAGGACTGCCTATATGCTGGATACGGTGTGCAGGGTGTGAAAATATGTTTTGGGTCGCAGGCTGAGATTAAGCCTGCGCATGGCAATGATGACATCACACGCTTGGCGTGAGAGCTAGGGGATTGGCAGGTGAGCTGGCGTTGGGCCCGAATAGTACGTGGATGGTGATCGCCATGGACAAGATGGTTATTCATCGTTATAAATAACCCAAACGGCTGTTAGGGTGTGGGGAGGCACTTATCTAGCGGTGGATTGACAAATGGGCCACGCACGTACATGCACACATTTCGACGTGACTTTGCTGCCATAAGTGACGTATGTTTAATTGTTGCTGTGTTCCGAGGCTGCTCGGGGCGGGTGTGCGTGAGGAGAGTGACTCGCGGCCTAGGATGAATTGCAGGCCGATCGATCGACCCGTGCGCCCAGGTTTACGTGTGTTGCGACCGGGCACCATAAACCGCGATTAACTTCTCCGTTGCACTCTCAACTCGTCGCGCTTCGTCTCAGAAGAGATTCCCTAACCGCAGACTTGGCACAGTCCTGCCTTGAGCGCACGTTTTGGTTGTCCAAAAGTGAACTGTGAAGTCAAGTGATGATATGATAATATGATTCTTCAAAGGTATTATTTTATCTTTCACTGGTAACCCGCTCTGTACGAACAGATGAGTAATCATCTCCAACGTCTTCGAATTTTATTCTGACTTCCTGGATCTTGACCTAACGATGTTTGACGTCGTTTCAAGCAAAACATCGTGTATTTGTTTTAAAAATGTGGTTGTGAGAATTGTTCTTCAACTTAATGAAACAATCGTAATCGGCGCATCGCTGAATACTTGGACACCACGTGACAATTTAGGTTGTTTTGTTTGCGTTGGGTGGTGGAGAGTTCGACTCACGTTTGGCCACATGATCACGTGGCCTCATCAAAATATACATTTTTAATCAATGATCTCTGCACAGAGGATCACAAGAGAAAAACAAATCTCATTGACGTTTAAATCCTATCAGCGGCTGCCCATATAAGCGAGCTGCGTCTGAACAACAGATGTCCGGCAGGCAAGGAGCCTCTGATCGCGCAGGGCCGGCCGCCCAGACGCATCGCAATTGGCGTCACTCGCAGCGAAATAACGGCTTTGTCCGCGGCTCGTCATGCGGCGCCTTCGAAATCACAACAAATTTCGGTGCGAAATATAACGCGGAAAATTGGGGAATAATTTTCGGAATTTGAGTATTGATGGCGGACATTAGGGACTCAGAGGCGAAAAAGGCGGCAGTAGCGGAGGTGCCTGCGAAGGGAGATTAAAGGGAGCGAGTGAGCGGAGAGATGGGGGAGACGGCAGGTGGGGAGAGAGCAAAACAAACCAGTCAGCACATCAAAGGGCAGCTCGCAAGCAGTTTGGATGTGGATTATACTTTGAATAACTGTAATTTTAACGACCCTTTGTAGTACGTATATATGTAATTGTATATATATGTGTATGTGTCAATATATATTCGTGTTATTTTGGCCGTATGCTTTCTGTATTTTGTGTGCCTTGATCGCACGTACCGTGGATATGTTTTTATTTATTGTGGGGTTATGTATGAAGTATATATACTGTGTCGTCCTTTATACATCCACCGCTGGATGTAGGCCTCCCCATAGCGTGTTGGTTATGGGGATTGTTTGACCATACTTCACTACCGCTGGTCAATGCTTGTCGGTCAAAGGGGTGGACCGGCTCAGATGTCACTCGCCACTGATGTTAGCCACGGCTGGGAATCTTACTCAGTCGATATCGCAATACGCTCACCGCCTGATGTTAAGTGCGCATATCCCTTTGTTGCGAGAAGCCACCTTGTAGGTAGCGGCGGCTGTGTGGGGTTATGTGAAAGATCACTCTTTGTTATTTGCATCGGAACGCTGTGTTCTCAGCCTCGCAATTCCCTATCATTTCTGCGTGAGTCGTGCACAATCAAAGAGGCTGGAAATGCGTTTCTCTCAGCTTCGTTATTACACGTCCCGATAGTTTGTCTATGTTTGACGGAGTGAATACGGGGAGAAATATAAGGAAAAATAGCCGTCACTCCCAATTCCGATCACTCCGCCTTGCTAATGCGGAAAATTTACGTTCACATCAAAGCTTGTGGCCGTGTCCACCTGAGTCGTATTAGGGAGGCCACTGTGGTTATTTATACACACGCCCCCAAGAGAGGGAATACTTTTCACCGCACGAGCTTCAAGAGTTTAGCGCTGACCCCTCTGGTCGCTCTTAACGGCTTCCACGTGGGTGACGGGGCTCTGCGTGCTGCTCACACGCCCGCCCGCCCACCGGTTTCTCCTCGCCAGCCGCTCAAGAGAGCCTTGCGTTCTGTGAGTCTTGTATTGGAACGGTGAGTGGTGGGAGGGGGTGAGGGGCGCGAGGGGGAGATGTGGCCAATAATAAGGCCCCAGTTGTTCAGATCCTGTGCCAGAACCCCAGACCTGTCCCTAGCGATTTGATTATATTCTCGGCTTTGTAGTTATATTAACAGATTTTTGTTTTTCTTGTTTTTAATTATGTTGTTTTTGTCGTTTTAATTGAGTACGTTTATTTGATAGAAAACACCGCTGGGTGGGGTGATGGTGCAGTGGTTTGCGCTGCGTGCTGTGAACTCGGCGACCTCAGTTCGATTCCCGGCCACAGCCAATGGCAGCAGTGATTAATATCTGAACTGGTTCTTGTCACTTGGCCCACCTCCCCTTTACCGACCAATAATGGCAGGGTAAAGTATGGCCAAACAGCCCGCACGACTGACGCGGCAAGGGGAGGCCCTAATCGAGCATCGGATTGACAATGAGCCAGAGCAGCACACTGCTGTAATTATTATTATTGTTGTCGTTGATTTGTATTGAAGTCAACAGAGATGTTGCCATGGGGAAAGAAAGCACGGCATGGAACTCGGCATGCGCGCACGTTAAGGGCTCTGCACAACTCGGAGCCAGGCCCGAGCCGACTGCACTGGAGCCAACGTTCTCCGATCACGTGCAGATAACGACGCACACGAAAACCACGCTGTTTAATTGGCGAGCGCGGAACGCCGGGCCCCGCTTTGGCCCCGGAGGGCTGATGTTACGCACTCCACTCCCGGGGAACACGGTTCGATGAGCTCAGCCGTGCCCTGCTTGTTAAAAGCGCTGTAAAGACCCCCTCGTGCATTCAACATGATCTTAATTTCTGTACCCTGCCGGATTCCTTTTTGGTTTTTTGTTGTTGCTGCTGGAGATGTTAACGTTTCGTCCCGTAGGACCGCCGCCGTTGGCGTGCCAGGCCCGTGGGCCCCGGCCAGGCCTGCGCAGACCGGGGTCTGTAGCATGACGGGGGTCTGTAGCATGACGGGGGTCTGTAGCATGACGGATGGTTAGGGCCCGCTCCCGCTCGCCCTCCCACCGGCGGCAGGGCACATCAAAGGCTGCTCGCCATACCGAGGCCAAGGCCACCGCTCCGGGTGTAGAAGTTGAGAAGGGGTCAACAGCGATGCCATTTAAACCGTTAAGGTTTAGCTTTCAATTAATTTTGTAATGAAATATTGCGGCACTGATTGATTCCGATTTTTCTGTGCCTCGTCTGTTTGTACAAGGTTGTGTTTAAATTGAGGCAGCGGGGAGGGGGGGGGGGTTGTGCGCTCGTGAAGATAATTATCATCAACTTCAATGCATTGCGCCCCGTTAAAAAAAGACACAGGCGACATCTAACGCAAGGTTGTTAAAGAAATCTGCGTTAAAAACACGGCCTGTGTTTTTATCCCAGTGGCGCCCTGGCCTGCGCCGTCTGGCAGGTGAGTGGGGTGGGTGCCTGCTGTGTTAGGACCGCTCGGATTTGCAATTTGCTAATTGTTTTATTGCTCAGGTTCAGAACTTGATGTCTGACATCTTTGCTCCATCGATTTGACTTTGCCTGGCGGCTTCGCCCCTCCGTTTACAACCTACTAAGCAGCTCGCTGACAGCGGCGGGCCGAGATGAGCATGAAAATTTAACGGCCGGATTGATTTTTGTTTTGCGTAGAGGCGGAGTGGGTGGAGGCCGACGCAAAGTGATATTGGCAGGTCTCGTCGCCCCAAGAGTTCGGAAAAACGATGCAAGGGTCATCAAACTCTGCTCGATAGCCATAACTGTCGGCATCAATGACGGATGTTTTGTAACGCCCGTATCGTCAATCCGAAGATTAACACCCGCCTTGCGACCAGCCGGGGCGTGCTTATACCAGCACTCAGCCGTACACAATCAAAACGTGAATTGATTACAGTAGAAAAATTATTTGATAGCTTTGATTCGTAATTGGGCTCTGACATATTCCAGGTTTGATCCAAATAGCACTCCGTTGGCATTTCAATTTCGCCAATGTGCTCCTGTTTGAAATTCTTATTTGGTCGCTGGTATTTTAAAACACGTAGGTTGGCAGCTTGTCATTTAAATTCATGGTGTCTCTCAAACTACGGGTGAATTGGTCGCTCCGGTCGCTGGTCACGATTTATTTTTTAAATGTCACTCGTTAAAATGATGCTGCATCAGATCGATACCTTGAGATAGAACCATGCGAGTGAATAGAGGCTACTTGCTCTCGCAAGAGAAGCGTGGATGTAGCGCACCACTGGGATGTGCAGGACCTACGAGTGTGGTGAGTGGTGCTGGGAGGGTGGTGAGTATGGCGATAGATGCTGGAGGTGTGGTGAGTAATGCAGAGAGGTTGATAAGTGTAGTGAGTGGTACTGGGGAGGGTGGTGCCTTTGACGAGTGATCCTGTAGACCTTCCACACTCAGTGGACCATATTTCACCACACTGGTCAGCATTAGGTTGATGAAGGCGGGGAGCATAGACCCAGCAATACAGCACAAGATTGAATTTGCTGCACTGCCCTCTGCTGGCAGCGTGGCCGCACCACACATGCATCTTGAGCGCAATATCCGATTTGTACCGACCTGAATCAAGATTTCATTACATTCCCCCCCCACTGCACCCCGTGGTGGTGCCCATTTCCAGAAGCACGGGCACCATGGGGCGCTGTTGCTGGCACGCACAGAGCTGGCGACGTACCGCGCATCGCACAGGCACTGCGACTCGGAGCATGACACTCACATTGTGCCTCCAGAAGGTGATGCCTCTGCTCGCAACTTCACATCCCCCGCCCACCCTCCCTCCCTCCAGCCCCCTCATTATTCAGGGCAATTGATTGGTGTCCTGGAAAAAAAAACTTGATAAGCCACGTAATCCCTTGGAGCTCTTTTCATCATCAACCATGGTCCATCCACTGCTGGATGAAGGCCTCTCCACACCCACTGCTGCCCCCTCTCACGATCCTGTGATGTAACAATCCGCCCAGCACCTGCACACGATTTCATCGCTCCATCTTCTCCGTGGATTCTGATTCTATGAGGCTCGCTCGATGTTTTCATCGTTGCGTGATGGTGGTGATGGTGGTGCTGGTGGGAGAGGGCACCGGTCGCCACAATGGCGGTGACCACCTTTTTTAATAATATATTTTTTTGTCATTTTAAACCAATTTTATCCTGATTGTACTATCGCATCATGTCATGAGACGAAGTCACCTCTGAGATCTCGCGTAGAGCAGATAACCGTGTATGTTAGGGAACGGCCCACGGAAACGGATATTACAGTACTCGCTCTGAGATTCCTTCAAGGGACATGGTCTATACAGTCCAGGGGAGAGTAATGTTTGTCGCACGACATTCAAATGAATATTTGTAATTCCCAGAGCTAGAATTGAGTTCAATTCAGCGCAGAACTAAATTTAATGTTATGGATATTTGCGCAGTTGTGGAAGACCAGGCTGAGATCATCAACTCTTGAGAATCCAGTTTAATCACAACTCAGTTTCTGTAAGTCTATGGTCCTCCATATGAGTTCATGGGTGTCTATGTAAGTCCGTGGGTCTCTCTGTAAGTTTATGGTTCTCCATGTGAGTATAAATCTGTACGTGTGTCTATGGGTCTGTGTGCAACTCACCGATGACTCGGCTGAGACCATCAGCACACTATGCTTGTGAACCTGGTTTAATCACAAATCTGTCTTTGTGAGTCTGTGAGTAAATATGTAGGAATATGGGTCTGCGTGAGTCTGTGGGTCTCTATATATGTTTATGGGTCTGTAGGTCAGTCAAAGGTAACCGGACCGAGACCATAAACTCGCTACGCTTGAGAACCCGGTTTAATCACTGATAATAATACTAATGCAAATTTATAAAGCACCCTTAAACAATCATTCTCAGGGCGGTATGGCGGCTGAAACCTGTACTCGAACCCAGAATCTCGGTGGTGCCGGCTCAGCATCTCTGACCTCAGAGCCACCTGGTGGCCATCTCTCATCCCTTTTCAGTATTGGCAGGATCTTTCGGAGCTCGGGGAGAGTCTGGCGGCGTGGCGACGTGAGCTGGAGGAGAGTGCGCGAGCGGTGCAGGAGCTCGGCGATCTCGTCCGGCGAAGAGCCGTTAAACCAAGCATGCCGCTGTGATCGAGAGCCGCAGGAGGCGATGCTGACGGCCACCATCGAGCCGTCGGCGGCGCACGCAACCTCGCCGGAACGGCGCGCCGGAGCGGGTACGAGCCGCGGCGTGGCGCTCGGATCGGATTGGCCGTTTGTCCAGCGCGAGGAGAAGGAGCCGGTAGTGTCACATGAGGTCAGCCGGAGTCGCGGGGGAGCACAGGGGACGGTGTTGACGTCGCCCAATGGGCAGGGAGAGAAGGTTCGTTGTGGTCGCAGTGCCGATGGGATTAATCGCGATGCTTTGTAATCTTCACAGGCGGTGTTTATTTTGTGTCGTGCCATTCTTATTGATTTGCTTCACCGCGCTCGCACCGCTCCGCATCCGAATGGATATTAGCGACACAGCAGCGGGGGTGACAGCGTCGTCATTTGGCATTCGCTGTCATTCGTAAGCAGCATTTTATTAACAATCCACCCAGCACCTGCACACACGAACTGATTTCATCGCTCCAACTCCTCGGTGGACTCGTTCGGTTCCTCGGCTGACACTGCGTTATTATTCTGGACCATCGTCCATCATCCTATCTGGCGATGTGTCCTGCCCAAGGCCACTTACTTCTCTCAATAGCGTGGATTAACAATCACAAGTTATACGTGTATTGAAATAGCAAATTGTAATTACGTGTAATTTAAATCCTGCCAATCTCCGCCCCGCAGCAGGAGCTGGAGGAATGCTCCGAGTTGCTGCGGCGCTCCGAGGTCGCCCTGGTGGCAGCATGAGAGCCTGGCACCGAAGCCGAGCCGCCGTGCGCCGAGGCCGCTGAGCCACCGTGCAGGAGCCATTCGCCGACCGAGAGGCACAGTCAGGCGAGGTGGGACCCCCTGCAGGACGCGAACGTCGGCCTTCTGCAGCTGCTGGCACTGCAGCAGCTGCAGAAGGCCGACGCTTGCTGCGAGAAGACCGCTGAGTAGGGGCCTGTACTTCCAACCTTTCTGGATCTACGGACCCACTGAACACTAATTTTCGCAGAACACAGTGCACCAATGACATATTTTTATCATAAAAATGATTCCAAATCCTAGTGCCTGCAACAATTCCCATGCAGACCACTTCCCCTGTCTACCATGGCAAGAATGCACGGGTTTACCAACTGGCCTGTCCTCTGTTGCCGAGTCGGCTTCATGTTAGGGATGTGCAAGCTATTTGTTTTCCTGTGTAGCCTGTGTTTGAATGCAAGCTGGTGAATAGGTTTGAGGGACCAAAGCCCTGTTGGCTCTGACCACCCACCACCTATTTGCAGTCTCTGCTGCTACTCCTGCTGCTGTTACTCTTTCTCCTCGCGCCGCTACTGCTGCTGCTCCTCCTCTGTCTGCTGCCACTGGTGGCTGTACTGTCTTCATTGTCGTGCTTCTTCGTCCCCTCCGACAGCAAAATGACCAGCAGCAGGAGTGCGCGGGGAGGACTCGGGCGGGACTGGCGGCGATGCAGGCACAGCGGCCGGATGATTGCAGCGCGTGTAGGTGCTGGTGGACGAGGAGTGCCGCCCCCGCAAGGAGCTCCACGACACCAGGTGCGCGGCACCGAAGGTGACAGCAGCGGCCGTGATGCAGCGTGTCGCACAGATTGCTTTCCTCGCCACGGGCGGCGGGGAAATGGGAGGTTGGCATAGGGGGCAAGTTTTGGGGGGGGGGGGGTTAGGAGGCCGCCCGTTGGGGGGGGAGAAGCGCCGTGTGGGGGGCCAGGTGGGATGAGATGCGAATGGTGCGGTGGATGTACGTGGGAGTGACGGAATTGGGGGTCGGGGTGGAGGTGAGCGGTTGTGCAATGGTATGAGATGGACAAAGTTGTGCAACGAGCAAGGGGGTCAGATCACGCGTGCGTGTGTGCGTTAGTGTGAGTATGCGTGTGGTTCCAAAGATCAGGGTGGCTCAGGTTGAATGATGCGCATGGGAAATGCTGAGTAAGTAAAAAAATCGAGGAACAATTTATAAAACAATCCACATTTCAAAAAGCCAAGCACCCAGCCTGCTCTGCTCGTAGCGCCAGTCTCACCGTCGTAATCATTTCACTGGCTCCGTGCACTTGGCTGGGTCTTGGCGTTCAGACATCGGGCATGTGACATTCAAGTCATACGTGGGATCAAAAAAGCTGGCGTGCCAGTCGGTGGTTTAATTTGGTTTTGTTAAATATGTGCAATAAAAACCAACTACAGTAAATGAAAACCACAGCATCCAAACATGGCAAACTTTGGTCAATCTTCAAAACATAATTGTAAAAAAAACGGCAGTTAACTTAAAATTGACGCTGACTCGAACGGAATATCGAAGACACTGCTCGCCGTGAGCGCAGAGGCAATTCTGAGACGGAATTCCGACGTGTGGAGAGGGGAGAAATTGTCCCCGCTGCGCTGAAGGCAGCTGGGGCTTGGGGACCGGCCACTCGGCCATGCAACGACGTTTTCGTTCGGTGTTTATTCTTATCGAAAACAAACGCCCGCACGGGGGTGGCCATGCCACGCCGGCATCCGCGATCAGCATGCCGCCTGGCGGGTGGCACTGTCGCGTGTCACCCGACCGCTCGCTCCACCGGTACCACCTGCCAGTCCGTGTCGTTTTGTTTCTACACATGTTTACCGCACTTAGATTTGGACGTAAAAAAGGTTTTTTACAACAAAGCGTAACAAAAAAACTTACCTTTTTGAAATTATAGTTTCAGCGCAACCTTTAGCTAAGAGTGCGGTACGCTTCGTTCAGCGGGAGGCTTGAAGATTATAAGAAAAAATGAATTCTCTGTACTATTTTCTTTAAAAGCAGAATTCAAAGGGAAAATACTCACGTAATAAGCAGAAAAACCCAATGGTGATAAAAAATTGGAATAGCATGCTGTTTGTACTCCTGCGGCTTCTGAGACTACGGAGCTTTATCAGCCTACACAGCGGTAGCTGGGAGGCTTTGTGATTGACTTCGCAGTAACCGTCCGTTTCCCATCTCGATCTGAGGCGGAAAAGAATGGGGAGAGTTTTGTGTCCCGTTGATTGTCTCCAATTTAACGAGGTTTCCTGGCGGGCCTTCATGTCGGTGTGAGTGAACCGCGCGGACGCCCGCTAACATCCCGCCCTCATAACTTATAATTTGAGTCAAATCAGCCGTGAAATGACGTGCACACATATTTATCGCGCATCAGTTGTGGCACCGCCGCTGGATTTCCTCCACCGCATCTTCCTCTTCTTTTTTCCTATTCTCCCGCAAATATCCTCCACCCACCTCCCGCCACCACCGCCACCACCGCCACTACCACTCGTAACGGCGTTGTCCTTCTGTTCGTTTTTTTTCTCCCCTTGCCCCCAGGCGACCCGCAAGAATGTGCCAATACAGATTAGGCCACAGAGTTAATTAAAGCCATCTCCGTGGAGCGACCTGGGCATTTTGTCAAACTTGAAAGCGGCGCTTAAATGGCGAGCGAGCACCCTTAAGTGGCACGCGGGCGCCGCCTGGAAGAGTTAATCTCTGTTCTATTGACTGCCGGCCGAGTGCCGCGTGGACCCTTGAGTAACAGGAAGGCGAGGTCGATGCATTGATTACCCGTTACCTCCCTCCTTTAAGCCTCGCTTCTGCACTGTAATTTAACACTGCCACAGCTACGCGACCATTTTGCTGGCATTTTTCCACGTTTTTTTATCTCCACCCCCCCCACCAGTCCCCACCATGACTCTGGTCAGGGGACACGAAACAGGTTCAAATTCACTCAGCAGAAAAATTGGAAAGTGATTTCTGTTATTTGACTTAGTTCATCTCTCTGTCACCGTACGGAGTCGACGCACGATACAGTTATTTGATGTCGCAAGGAGCAGCTGTTTACGGAAATTGTCATCTTCTTTAAAACCTCGTACTGCACTGTTGTCACGCCCGCGGTCTGGGAGAGGGCCGTGGAGCGGTTCGGGCCGCTGTCTTTATCAACTGATTTAACAATTACTTTGTTAGTGACCACATTTTGGTATCAGTTGTTGCAGCACGCCGCACCGCCCTCCGCTCTTCGCACAGGTCGGTCACTATTCGGCCATCACTGCCGTTAGGAATTCGGAACCCCGTGGCACTGGTCACGGTGTGCGACTCACAGTGAAAATTTGTACGATTGTACGCATAAATTACCGCCCTTTGTCAATCCACCGCTGGACAAGGGCCTCCCCACACCTGTCGGTTCATGGACATTTGACCATACTTCATCAAGATGGTAAGTGCTCGTTGGTGAACGGACCGGTTCAGATCACTGATGTTAGTCAAAGCAGAGATTCATACTTCGGTCACCAGGCTCATATCACAGTGCGCTAACCACCGTGCCACCGCTTCACCCCAATCAACACGTTAAAAGTCAACATTGACTGAACATTGCTTTGTGGGGATTTAATAGTTGTCCTTTGGGTAAACTCACCTCCAAAATAAGAATGTGGAATTTCCACCACTTGCCTCAGGCATAATGTGCATTGTTGTGACACGGAAACTTGACGTGATTTAACGTCACTCGTGGTTATTCGCCGGAGGCATTATTGATTTTGCGTGTTTAAGTCTCTCAGTCTTTAGTCATGCAATTGCTTTGTCTGAGAATTGGTGAACGGCACATGCACACCGCCTTCAGATTTACATGTGGGACAGTGTGGTGTTATACAGGCCGCAGTTTGGAGTTGGAGGCTTTTGGTGCGAGTGAGCATGGTGCCATGTTGCCACCACGTGGTATTGCCCAGGAGCAGGACGTAGTTCCTCAAAACAGAGCTGAAAGCCACCAGGACAGAGGAGGCCACGCGGGCGCAGGAGGTGATGCGGCTGCAGCTCGCGCCGGTGGCACGCAGAGCCTGAGACCGGGCACGTTCATGGCCAGATCAACGGGTAACCGCAATCTTAACCGCACAGCCCCGCTCCACCACGTGTGTGCATAGAGTATGTTCTCATACCCCTATTGCTGTCGGCGTTGTGATGCGAGATTAAAAATCCATCAGGAACTCTGGTGGAGCAGTGCACGATTGCGGGTTAGAGAACGGTCCGCAGACGCAAATATCCCAGAACTACTTTCTTGAATTTTATTTTTCAAATCACCTCTGATCCACACAATTAATAGGAGGAAGCATATTCATGCTTTCCCTGCTATTGGTGACCAGGCTGAGATCACCAACTCTCACTGTGTTTGAAAACCTGGTCCAATCACAGATGGCTGAAACCTGGATTCGAGCCCAGGAGCTCAGTTCAGTGCTCTGACCTCTGAGTCCCACGTGGCCAGCTCCCTGGAGGTATTTCTTTAGATTTCAATCCGGGTGAAGCCCCCCTCCTCATTACGAGCACCCCCCCCCCCCCCCCTGTTTGCAGAGGCGCAAGGACCCCAAAGTGCAAAGTTTTGGTTTGGGAACAGCCCGTTGTGGCATGCGCCCGCGGCCGCTTGCGCCGCGCCACCAGCAGTGGCTGAGATGCGCATGGGGCCCATCGCGATTGGACAAATTAATAGTTTTGCCAAAATGTTAAGCTGGGGATTAAAATTGAGCGGTTTAAAAAAGAAATCTGCACTGAATCAGAACTTGGAATTTTGAAGTCAGTGTGAAGAATGGAAAACTGGCACGATTATTTTTTACAAAATGTCTAAGTGGTATTAACAGACCTAACCATGCACCATGATGTGTATAGCACGAAGAAAATTGTGCCCGCCTAGCAGTGTTGTTTCACTCTTATCGAGGTATGAATAGAGACGCACAGCGAGACTCCAGATCTCAAGCTCACACCCAGTGTCCCAGTCTTTTTGCTAAATCTTTACATTTAAGGGAAGAAAACCCGAACCCTTTATATTCCTTTTATATCCAGGTAAGAGCTCACTGACAACAGAGGTCTCTTGCAAACAGCACAACTAATTTCACTGTAACCAACATTTTAAATACTTGCAGCAATTAAGTAATTAATATGACATGAAAAAGATTTGAAATGGTTCAATTCGCCGTGGTGTGCTGTGGATTTTGGGAGCCATTTGCGAACCGCCAATGATCCGCTAATTACAGGGATTCATGGGATATTGGATGGCGGACTATTGGATTTCTGCTTTGGTCACTTTAAAAGCAACTTGAATCCTGAATGGATTCTACAAGTAATGTGGATGCGATATCATAGCATACGCACCGAGCCTAAGGGTGTGGCGTTATGCTAGCCCATCCAAGCTCTATCCATGCTCAACCCCGCTTAGCTTCCGAGATCTTAACTCTGCTCCCTTGCTCTGCGTGCCCAGGTGGAGCAGCTGGTAGCCACGTGTGGGAGGAGCTAGAAGTGGAGCAACAGTTGCCTGATGGAGGCTGTGGACAACGCGTGCCAGCTGGCGGACACCACGTGCGCCGAGGCCTCTACGCTGCGCGAGCAGGGCGAGAACGATGCAAATCGGGTACGGCCTGCGCTGCGTGGGGAGATGCTGGCGGACAAGGTCACCTCTTTTTGAAGTAGCTGTCCGGGATGTTTTAGGTCCCAGTCTTTGTCGGTTGCGGGATAACACCACCGCTCAAGATTATGCCGAACGTGTGGTTCTCCCCTCCTCCGGTGTTGTGAGAGATTCTTCTTCCCATATAATGTTCTGCTTTGCAGCCGTATGAGGGGGCAGGTGCTTGCGCGAGCAAGCAGGCAACTGAGGTTGTTCCCCGTTCCATTTTAGCTCCTTGGAAAGCTTCGTGCGGAGATTGTGACCAAAGTCATCGCCATCCACAGGGGACATAGACTCGTGGTTCCGATTTTAAGAGTTACAGTATTAATGCATTTCTTGACAACAACAGTAATAATGTGAGAATAATAATCATGTATTTCATAGACAGAAAAAGGTGCAATTGGTCCTCCCATTATGCCTTTTGATTTTGCCTGCAAATAGGTGAATGTTGGAGGAGGTATTTACACCAATGACTAAGCAAGGCAAGCCTTAGATGAAGCCTGTAATCTACGCAGCATTACACGCCGATCCTTGACATCGATTCGTTTTGGATGCACCTAACACACTAACGCGAGGGCCACCCTTAACACAACCTGGCGATGTCACAACATTGAGATTAACGTGCGATGCATAACCGAGGCACCACTTGCTCTTTGTCTGTGCGACTGGTCGACCGACGATGCAGCCTTGCACTCGCGAACACTGGATTTTTGGCGCTGAGCTCAGGCGATTATTTCTGTGCGTCGGGCGTCTGCGGCAAGAAGAGACACACGGAGGTGGTGGGGGGAGGTGTGGCAGACGGGCAGGGTCAGGCGCACAGCAGCCCCCATCTCTGTAAACACATCAGGGGAGGGGAGCAGGGGGGGAAGGGAGGGGGGCCACCGGTAGCCAGGGTGGGATACACTGAATTGGATCGGGGTGGTTTGATGACAGCTGCTTGTTTTTGATCAAGGAAGCATATTACAATATTCTGGGCGGTAAGCTAAAGAGGTGTCCGTCTCTTGTTGTGCTTCTGTCAGATGCGTGTGGACTGGAGGCCCGTTTATTGCTTGTCACATCTCCAGGTTTGCCGCTGCTGTAATTAGCTTATTAAAAAAAAGTGAGGGGGGATGGTGATTGAGAGGCAGTCGGGAGGGCGGCTTGATTGCTGTCAGGAAGCGGGACCCGCCCGCCTGCCTGTACGCCCATCCGCCCGTCCGCCACGCTGTCAGCCCGCCCGCATTACAATGAGTGGCACAAATTGAATGGGCTCTGCCCTTTGAACCCAGCCCCATGCGCGCTGGCACATTGTCATGCGAGGATAAGTATGCCTTTGCTGTCACGATGGCGCCCGCTGTTTTGATATGCATCACCTGCGTGGGCCGCTTGCGACGGTTACAAATGGCGAGCTGAGCTACGATTTGATATTCCTGCATACACTTTTACATGCAGGGCATGGCAAATGCGAATTTACAAACAAAAAAATCGGATATATTTTTAGTGAGTGCAAAATCGTACGATTTGAATTATTTCCCCCAAAAAAACAAGCCGCGTCCAATCCGGTCCATTAGATTGGATGGCTGTCATGAAGAAAAATACAGTGTGTGATTGACGACAGTTCTGCTTGAAATAACGACTTGTCTCTAAAATTACAAACACACGCGTGATTCTAAACGACCTACATTCCTGCTCATCCAGTTGAGCGTTAAGACATCTCCTGACCACCTCTGCCCGGTAAATATCAGCTGTGTGGCCAAGTGACCTTTGTGCATTGTTCAGGAGGCTCGCGACTTGCATTTGTCCTCCTCTTTCTTTCCAAGCCCGCAACATTTGCACATGCTCATGTGTGCTCGTGTGTGCGCTCGCGTGTGTGCGTGTCCTCCCGCATCGCCTATCGCCCATCACACACCTCGCGGCAACTTGCCTCCCTTTGTCATTGTCTCATTATGTACCTTGCCTGCGCACCGAGCCTCTGCAGAGGTGGGACGATGTACAGTAGGCATATATGCGTGTGAATGTATAATGCGGTACGTATCGTAAATATAAAAATAAATTCATAAGCGGGCCGCGCGCGGAATGCAGACGAGGGCGGCAGATAAGTCTGTATTTGGTTATCTCCGTACGCGCAGCGCGCTTGGCTGCCGCGCCTGCCACTCACACCCGACGGGCAGGGTGGGGGCGGCGGTGGTTGGGGGTGGGGGGACGTAACCGTGACCTGGAAATCGACCCCCGACATTAACCCCGGCGTGAGCACGGCACGGACGGCGAGCACCCTATCTGCACCCGCACCCTCGCTTTGGGGACAAAATGGACTCCCTTTATGTCAGCCACGTTTTAAAAAGCGCCGGCTTCGGCTCGTCGCCCACGCGCCAGCGGCGGATGCAGTCGTGCAGACGGTGTGGGGCCGTGTTCGGTGACAGGAGGCCGGGACACAAGTCGCGTGTTGGAAAAAATTGGAGTTGCGGTCATGAAACGCTGCCCGTGACCCTGACGCCTCACTTAATTACGTGCCGCGAGTGGCCATGTAATGACAGAGGGGGCTTTGTTGCAATAAGTGGGAAAGTCGGATTTAGTGAGTGTCAGACTCGGGAGCGCTGCTGGTAGCCGCATGGAAAAAAAAATGGTTCCCGGTTTGCTGCGCATCACAATGTCCAGTGATAAATACGACCTTTTCAGCTGATTAGTGAAGGGAGCTGCCAAGATGTAATGGTGAGCACGCTGGACTTGGCCCTTCCGCCCGCAGTAGCGCAAGCAAGCAATTGCAGGGTTTCACCTTTACCTCTTCACGTACGTCTGTACGTTACTAACATTCCACTGGAATTACCGGTTCCTCACGTACGGGACCGGGTAACCTGGTTTGCCGGTTGTCACTGAACAACCCTGGTTCAGACAATCGCCAGTCGGCCACGTGTGTGCTGATTGCAGCCTCAAGTTTATTGCGCTGTCTGGGAGGACCGTGTGTTTAAACGGGGTGACTTGCGCAGTGCATTTGTGTGCTGCTTTTGATATTTGTGTGCAATACTACCCACTGTAGTCGTGTATTGACGTCGCTTCCCCCCATTGCTTCCAGCAAAGCTTCGACCGTGAGTCACTCACTCACCGGTATGGTTAATTCGGTAAACAGCGTCCGCAAAAAGAAGAGCAGCTAAGCACATGCAAATATGGACCCACCCGAAAATGAGTCTTAAGGATGTGTGTAATGTCGTGGTTAGCACGTTGTGTTACGAACCCGGTGACACAGGTTCAATTCCTGCTCACGGCCAACACCAGTGACAATTATCGGAACCTGTTCTGGGCCTTCCCTATGTCAACTCAGCCTCAAATGAGTACCTCGTGCAGTGTGTAAACATCGCCATTGGGAAGAAAAAGGCGGCCGTGCGTGGTGCTGGCAACCCACCCCATCGTGTGCCATGCCCGCTAACAGCACTTTCCCCAACATTCTGTTCAGGCTATATGGGGGATCTTTGTTTTTGTGTATGTCAGGTGTCTAAAGGAGAATTACTTTCCTCGATAAATGGCATTTTGTTTCTCATTAAAGCAGCTGTTTGCTCACATTTTTTTTATTTTCAGAAGCAATGAATACAATTTAAATATCCTGATGAGGTTAGCTGCATTGTATAGTGGTGTCACTAAAATGCAGTTGGCTTGCATTTGTGATTTGTGAGAGAAACAAATTGAGCTTGTACAGTGACAGACGGCTCGACACGCACCATATAGATTCAGTGATCAGTGGCAATTGTTTCTCTGGTTGCAAGTTGGGCTTAATTTCAAGGAAAAGTATATACAGAACAAAAATGCAACGAGAAAACTTAATATGTGTGTTTGTATACACATATATTTTTAAAAATGTACTGTGGTCAGCCTGCTGCACTCTGAAACCAGCGATTTGAGTTTGATACCCAGCCGTGGCTAACATCGGTGACTATTGCTATCTGAACCAGTCTTGGGTTCACCACCCCGCGCTGACCAGCGTGATGGAGTATAATTCATCAACTCTCATGACTGGCACAGCTCGGGGAAACCTTCATCCAGCAATGTAACAAAAAAATCGGTGGATGCATCATGGCTGCTTATGATGACGATGACGACGGCGATAGTAAAGCGAATGTTGTCTGTCAAGAGGACGAGCAGACGCCCACGCGTCTGAAGAAGGAACTCAAGGCGAATGACACGGCTCCCGGCCGGAGCTCTCGACTCCCTAGCAGGGACTGTCTGAATTACAGGACGAGGACACCCTGAGTCAAGTAACACTCCCAGCCTGGTCGCCACGGCTGCTGGGAACCCGGGCTCAGCTGGCCCTGGAACAGCCCAGGACTGACCCTGACAGCATCAGGGATTGGGCTGCGTTGTCACCATGTGACTGGAACCATGAGGCTGTGTCGGGTCCGACCCTGTGCTCCCCTCTGCTGCCGTGCATCCTCTCCCTGTGGAAGGGTTGGGAAGCGATTTTAATCTACACTTGTAATTAATGTTAATGCAGCGTTTGGGTTTATGGACCCATCTGTGTGGGCTTTTATAGGCGTTATCATGGATTGTATGCGTGGTGGTCGCCCATTCAACCATTATCCATGTTCATTCCTGCTTTGCTGCCAAGATCTCTCGAGATTGGGCACATTCCGGGTGATTCAGTCATCGGTGGCAAATGTGTGTGTTGTTGTATCAGCATGTTCTATAATAACTGCACACCGTCGTTAAAATGCTATGCTGCGTCTTTCCGCCACGCCGTTTGCCTGTGGCCCATGCAGCTCGTCGAGGGGGGCCGGAAGCTAGGACCCCTGCAGGCGGAGGCTGCGCGGTACGAGCGCAAGGCTGGCGCCTTGCCGGCGTGAATATGCGGAGCATGCCAGCGGAGCTTCCAGTAGCTGCACTTTCTGCGCCGACAGAGGTAAGCGCACAGCAGTCGCGCTTCACACACGCAGGAAGAGTGCATGTGTGTGCGCGCGTATGTGGTTGGCACGTGCGCGCACCCCGCCTGTCCGCCCCGCGTGTTGCGCGCATGCGTGTGTGCGCACCGTCGGGCTGAGTGGCACGCTCGCGCACGTGAATGGCAGCTCGCGCGGTCCGCGGGGGACCCAAATCCTCACTCTGAATAATTCACTCACTCTTCTGGCCCTGGCCGTCCCATGGGACCACACTAAAATATCAAAAAACTGACGATAACTGCCGTTTCTATTTTTACGTTTCTATCGCAGAGATTTTTTTGTATGTCTTCCTGGCTTTAGTTTTGTTGTGGCCTGGCCTTTGTTGTTTCTTTTTTTACTCCCCCCCCCCCCCCCACCCCCTACAAAGGTTTGAATGGTATTAGTTGAAATCAGATGTCAGATGGAATGAAATGTTTAATCTGTGTTCCTATGCATATAGACGAGTTCTCATTGTGCATGCCTTTCTGTGGGTTCTTTTTATTTATCTTTGCCAATTTTTTCTTGCGCTTCAGTTATTGTCTGTCGTCTCCGCTTTCTGTTTTGTCCCTCTCCTTTTATCGCCGTCTCTCCGCATCTCTCTATTTCTTTCTGCCGTACCCCCACCCCGCCCCCCACTGTTTTTTTTATTAATATCTTTCTCTCTGTTGCACCTCTTTCCTTTCTGTCTCTCGTTTTTGTCCTTTTCTCTGTTCTCTTCTCCTAGCTCGCCCGTTTCTGCCGCGCCATCTCTCCTCTCACCGTTGCTCTTGCCCGCTCTCTAATCTGTCTCCATCTATCTCTCGTTCTCCATTTTACCACATCCGTCTGTCCGATCCTTTTACTTCTCCCCTCGATCCTTCTCTCCTGCACTCTCTGGGGGGGGGGGGGGGGGGGGGGGGGGTGTGGGGGGTGAGAGGGGGACGCACGCATGTCGCAACCCCAAGTGTGCAAGTGACAGAACGGCTTGTTCGGCCGGGACCAAAACCCTCACCCTGCATAATTTACACACTTTTCTTGTTACCGCTGCCCTCCGAGGACTTGTCACAAATGCCAGAAACCCCCGGCCGTCCGGCCGCCTCTCGGCCTCGGCAGCGGGAATCAGAAAGGGAGGTGGCCAGAGAGGTGACTTCGCCTGCACCACCGCTGGGGAGAGAGGGGCAGTCTATGTATTTACTTATTCATGGGGCCCATTTATAATTAATTTATTATTTCGTTTATTAATCTTTTAAAGTGCTCACGATGCCTTCGTTTTCTCCTCCACTCTTCCTCCCCAACTCATCCCCTCCCCTTTTTTCCTTTTCCCTCCTATTCTTCCCGTTGTTTTAGCGAGCATCGCAACTTCAAACGCTCGCTTACGTTAAGAGTTGCTTTTCCCCACGGCGGTGCTCGCCCTCCGGGAAGGGAGATTAGATGAAAGCGGAGCGAAGAGAGACGGGCCCCGGGGCTACCTTGGCCTGGGAGAGCCGCTCCCTCGCACGCCCCGGGCGAGCCGCCCTCTTGCGCAGCCACGTCGCGTCCCGCGGCGCCGGCGTGCACCACCGAACGGGAGACGCTGTGCGGAAAACAAATGGCATCGGGATCGCAGCTCGCTACGCCAAGGGAGGGGGAACGCGTTCGAGAGGACGTTCACCCATGGAGACGGAGCGATGAAATTGGCTTGCGGGCGTTTTGCTGGGCAGATCGTTACACACACAGGGTGAAAGCTGGCGATGGCTTGCGGAGACCTTCTCGCAGCATTGGATTGACGATAGCTGATGATGACGACGACGACAACAACGACGATGAGCTATGATAGCCGTAGGCTCGTACATCTCCGTGAGCCATCACGGGCCCTGTTTACAAACACAGATTATATATTCATGGACACAATTCCATTATTGCTGCAGACAGTCAGATTGGATCCGCAGATTGGATAATGTAATCAGGGTGCCGAGCAATGCACAATTTCCCAGCTGAACCATAAAAAAAAATCTATTTGCTGTGAAAATTGTCTGATGGCCAAATCGAATGGGGGTTTTGTTTCTTAGACAAATCATACAGCAGTGGAGACCCAGTGGTCAGTGGCGACACTCGGCTCAAGAAAAGCAGGCATTGTCTACGTCTCCCGGCAGTTCACGGGGGGGTCCCAAATTAATATAAAACATACGATGGCATCAAATATCAGGTTGAACTCAAATGCTAATAAACGTAAGTCTAATTAACAAGATTTAACCCCTGTCTTCTCTACCTCTCTTCTCTCATCTCAATTACAGCTCTATACGTGTCCTCATCTCACTAATTCTCTTGTCCATATTTCTTCTGTCATCTCACGAGGAGTTTAAAAATTGTAGGAGCAAGAGGGCCCCAAAAAAATATCCCGCTCGGGCCAACTCCCCCCTCCACCAGCAGTGTCCCCATGCCATCGCAGCATGATTCGCCCACACCAGAGCCCCCATGGTGGACCCTGTTGTGTACGTGACAGCTTGGGGAGGCCTTCATCCAACAGTGGGATTGAACGTGGCTATTGCGGTTCCTGATGATTACGGTATATGTGTAGGTTGGTGAATGAGGAGGGCACCCACTGATGTTAGTCATGGCCGGAAATTGAACTTGGGTCACCGGGATCATGGTAATACATATTTAACTCAAGCAACATTTGTAATACATTGATGATTCTAGAAATATCTTTGGTGCAGTCATCAGTACAAAGTCTCAAAAGCAGTTATTCTCAATCCGTTTCTGTTTCCTGCTGCATAACTTCGCAGCGTGATGATGTCGTCTGTTGTGGTCCGGCGATCCCAGGGGGAGTGGTAATGAGCTCTTGAGATCCTCTGAGCCTCCCCGGCCAGACCACAGGAGGCATTAACAGCAAACGTTGACGAGACATTTGCAGCATTTTCCCACAGAGTTGAAAATCGTTAGCGTGCATTGTCGTCTAAAAACAACAACTTTGAATTGAAACTGCAAGCACTTAACACAGCCAACAGCCTTGCCACTCGCGAAGGCCCAAGAGTAATAAGGCGTTATTAGCAACGTTGTTGAATACATTTATTACAGCCGTTGCATGTAAAGTTGCCGCCTGTCCTGGTTTTCTCAGGATCGTTCTCTTGTTGAGGCAGCTGTCCTGGGAAAACTGCAAGTCTTCTGGGACATCATAAGTCTCGGAGTTTGTCAGTTGCGTAACAATACACTGCACAAGACGATGCCTTGTGGTTCTCCCCTCCTCCGATATTGTGAGAGGTTATTTTTCCCATCGAATGTGCTGCTTGGCAGCCGTATGAGGAGCAGGTGCTTGTGCGAGCAAACGGGCAACTCGGGTTGTTCCATTTGAGCTCCCTCGAGGTCTTGTGCGGAACATCCGAAGGATTGTGACCAAAGTTGTCGCCATCCATGCGAACCAATAAACCAGTCAACCAATCAATTCTCAACATTATCAAAGTGAGAAATATTCCTTTTACGAGGTGATATGTCCCAGACTTTGCACCTCGGAGGTTGCAACCCTTAAATACGGTGACTTCTAAAAAGGTTCTGCAAATTAACTGCAAAACTCGGGCAGTGTTTGTCTGAAGGAGTGCGTGAACGAGTGCTGCTCTTGAGAAGGGTCCTCCTGGCTCCTCGCAAGGGTTGATGTCACCGCTACAGAGAGAGAGAAATCCGCTAACACCACTCGTGTAATCTCTGCCCTCCCGCTGCGCTTCTCTGCACCCCGTGCATGCCCAGGCCACGAGCTGCAAGGGGCAAGTGGACCAGCTGATGTATCGCAACAGGCGCTGGGCAAGTGCGATGAGGAGACGGATGCCGTGCGGCCTGAGCTGACCTCGCTGCATGAGCCCCTGTGTCTCAAGATCGTCGTGGACGTAAGGTCACGCGATGTACGGTGGCAGAAATAACACACAAGCGTCGTGAGAATTTTATTGTGTTATTTTATTTTATCAATTTATTATTTTATTCTCATTCTACGTGACTTTACCGAAAGAACCAAAGAAGAACACACAAGCAGTTTCGACCGTTCTGAGGTTGTGGCCTAGAGCAAAGCTGTGCGCGTTACGCACGCGCATCGCTTGATGTCAGGTGACATTCGAGACACGATTAGAAGACCAATACAGTGGTCACAATCACTCATTTTCCTATCTTGAAATTACACAAAAAAAAGAATTGCTTCTTCTTACGACATTTGGACAGCAACGGACGAGTTTGTAACTGTGTTGAGCTGGGATCTTCCAAATGGATTCCAGTTGTACTCCCTGGAAAAGTGTTTCCAAAGCAATGATGGGTGATGTGAGTGACTAATTGCACTCACATTAGACACAACACAGAGACCCATAGACTTAAAAAGGGCATTCAATCCAGTGCACGCGGCTTCTCCCGTGCCCCCACGTCATCTTTTGCATGAGTCAGCGCAAGAGGCACTCTCGTGCTCCTTCGTCTTGTGTCACTGAACAAAAAGTGGGAGTTTTCAGGTCAAAATGAACGATTCTTCCTCTTTCAATCTCTTGTGCTGCAACCAGCAGGCGGCCGCGCTGACGGCCACGCTGGAGTCACTCTAGGCATCATCACCAGGCCACCGAGCGTGCGTTGAGCGGCAGTATCAGTCGGGAGAGGGAGCCAGCCGGCTCACCCCACCCCAGCTCAGAGCGATCACGTGACTCTCGGTACCACGCCAGTCGCATGCAAGCCCACGCTCGATCCATTGTTGAGTCAAAATGGCCGTCTGCTCAAGTGAGCATTGGATGATTCTTATTTCTGTTGTTGGCCGCAAGAAATTGACGGAAATTCAATATTCCTGTGTACAGTGAGGGAAAAAATTATTTGATCCCCTGCTAACTTTGTACGTTTGCCCACTGACGAAGAAATGATCAGTCTATAATTTTAATGGTAGGTTTGTTTGAACAGTGAGAGACAGAATAACAACAAAGTCCAGAAAAACGCATGTCAAAAATGTTATAAATTGATTTGCATTTTAATGAGGGAAATAAGTATTTGACCCTTCTGAAAAACATGACTTAGTACTTGGTGGCAAAACCCTTGTTGGTAATCACAGAGGTCAGATGTTTCTTGTAGTTGGCCACCAGGTTTGCACACATCTCAGGAGGGATTTTGTCCCAACTCCTCTTTGCAGATCTTCTCCAAGTCATTAATGTTTCGAGGCTGACGTTTGGCAACTCGAACCTTCAGCTCCCTCCACAGATTTTCTATGGGAGTAAGGTCCGGAGACTGGCGAGGCCACTCCAGGACTTTAATGTGATTCTTCTTGAGCCACTCCTTTGTTGCCTTGGCCGTGTGTTTTGGGTCATTGTCATGCTGGAATACCCATCCACGACCCATTTTCAATGCCCTGGCTGAGGGAAGGAGGTTCTCACCCAAGATTTGACGGTACATGGCCCCGTCCATCGTCCCTTTGATGCGGTGAAGTTGTTCTGTCCCCTTAGCAGAAAAACACCGTCAAAGCATGTTTCCACCTCCATGTTTGACGGTGGGGATGGTGTTCTTGGGGTCATAGGCAGCATTCCTCCTCCTCCAAACACGGCGAGTTGAGTTGATGCCAAAGAGCTCCATTTTGGTCTCATCTGACCACAACACTTTCACCCAGTTGTCCTCTGAATCATTCAGATGTTCATTGGCAAACTTCAGACGGGCATGTATATGTGCTTTCTTGAGCAGGGGGACCTTGCGGGCGCTGCAGGATTTCAGTCCTTCACGGCGTAGTGTGTTACCAATTGTTTTCTTGGTGACTATGGTCCCAGCTGCCTTGAGATCATTGACAAGATCCTCCCGTGTAGTTCTGGGCTGATTCCTCACCGTTCTCATGATCATTGCAACTCCATGAGGTGAGATCTTGCATGGAGCCCCAGGCCGAGGGAGATTGACAGTTCTTTTGTGTTTCTTCCATTTGCGAATAATCGCACCAACTGTTGTCACCTTCTCACCAAGCTGCTTGGCAATGGTCGTGTAGCCCATTCCAGCCTTGTGTGGGTCTACAATCTTGTCCCTGACATCCTTGGAGAGCTCTTTGGTCTTGGCCATGTTGGAGAGTTTGGAATCTGATTGATTACTTCTGTGGACAGGTGTCTTTTATACAGGTAACAAGCTGAGATTAGGATCACTCCCTTTAAGAGTGTGCTCCTAATCTCAGCTCGTTACCTGTGTAGAGGAGTAGAATGGGGAAGTGGCATCACGTGGGCTGTCCAGGGCGATGACGTGACGTCATGGGCTCGGGGCAGCAGAGTGACATCACGGGTCCTCAAGGATAAAAGGGGGACCCCGTGACGTAAGCGGGGTCGTAGCTGGAGAATAGGGTCGGAGAAGGTGGGGAACGGGGAGCGAGGGGCAAGAGGGTAGGGATAGGGGAGAGCACAGTGCCAGGCGAGACGTGGCTGTGCTCCTCGGTCGGCCGTGTTGGTTGATCCCACGGCCGGCGCAGAGGAGACAGCACAGGACAGCCGGCTGTGTCGGGACCTAGCCCGGGACCCCTAACCCCTGGGAAGTTGTTCACCCCTGTGTACTGTTAAAGATTTTTAATAAACCGTTGGCGGAAGCCCTTACCTTACCTTAGCCTACGAGTGAGTCGTCGGGAACTCTTTTAAAACTGGTGTCAGGAGTGGTTACGCTGCCGTCGCTATGCCTAAATCGGGCGGGCGGCGTAAGAATCCACCGGCGGGACGCCGGGAGAGTGCTGACGACGTCGGGGAGGCTCCGGCTGCGACCCGGGGGCAGTCTGACGCCGTGGAGATGGACTCGGCGGGGCAGGTGGTGTCGGCGGCTGGGGGTCCCAGCGCACCACCGCCGGTGGCGGGGGGCGATGCCGAGGGGCGGTCGCAGCTGCTCCTGCGGGCGATGGAGCAGCTCACCGCCGCCCTTACAGAGGTGGGAGCGCGGACGCACCCACCCGGCCCACACTCCACGTGGCACCGGCGGATTCCCGCCGTTTCGCCGCCCGCCAATTTTGAAGTCGGCGCCATTTTTCATGCGCCGCCGGAGGTGGCGGCCATGTTGGTGGGGGCGCCGCAAGCGGATGTAATTTCCGCCGCGACGCCGGAAGCGGCGGCCATTGTTGCGGCCGTGGCTGCCGCGGATGCTGCTGCGGATGCTGCCGCGGCTCCGCACCTCGCCGTGGCTGTGAGCTTGGCCGCAAATGCTGCTGCGGATGTCACTGCCGCGGATGTCGCCGCCGCTCCGCACCTCGCCGTTCCGACGAGCGCTGCTGCGGATGCCGCTGCAGCTCCGCACCTCGCCGTGGCTGCGAGATTGGCCGCGGATGCTGCCGCGGAGGCTGCCGCGGATGCTGCCGCGGCTCCGCACCTCGCCGTACCGGCGAGCCGGGCCGTGGATTCCGCCGCAATTGCGGGGTGGCTCGTGGGCGCTGCTGCGGCTCCTCATCTCGCCTGCGGCGTGCAACGCCGCCGCACCTCGCCACATCGGCGGGATGCGCCGTGGCGCCCCCCCACGCTGACGCTATTGCAAGGTGGGTCGTGGACGCCGCGGATCCATATGCCGCCGCATTTGCGAGGTGGCTCGCAGGCGCTGCTGCGCCTCCTCACCTCGCCGCGTCTGCGGCGTGGCCCACGGAGGCCGCAACGCCGCCGGCCCTCGTCGCCTCTGTGGGAGGGGCCGTGGGAGCTGCCGCGGCTCAGCATGCGGGCGGGGTCGCGGGGCTGGCCGTTGGCAATGCCGCGGGCCCGCACCTCGTCGCGCCTTCAAGGTAGGTTACGGGCGCTAATGCGCCTTCGCATCAAGCCGTGCCGGCGGGGTGGGCGGCGGTTGCTGCTGCACCTCCGCACCTCGCCGCGTCTACGGCGTGGCCCGGGGGGGCCGCAACGCGGCCGCTGCTTGCCGCGGCTGCGAAGGCCGCCGCAGGAACGCACGCCGGCACCGCGGCTCCGTACGGCACCGCGGACAGGTGGGTCCCGGGCGCTGTGGCGCCTCCACACCTCGCCGCGTCTACGGCGTAGCCCGGGGAGGCCGCAACGCCGCCACCCCTCGCCGCATCGTGGGAGGTAGCCGCGGCTGCGACTGCAGATCCATCCATCGCCGCGCCTGCGAGGTGGCCCGCAGGGGCCACCGCGGGGCCGTGTTATATCGCCGCATCTCCGGCGTGGCCTACGGGGGCCGCAGCGCCACCGCACCTTGCCACGTCTTCGGCGTGGCCTATGGGGGCCGCAACTCAGCCGCCACCCACCGCGTCTCCGGCGTGGCCTACGGGGGCCGCAGCGCCACCGCACCTTGCCGCGTCTTCGGCGTGGCCTATGGGGGCCGCAACGCTGCCGCACCACACTGTGGTTGCAGGGTGGCCCGCGGGGGTCGGGGGGGCTTCCATACCTCGCCGCACTGCGCGGCCAAGGGCTGCGCCGGTTACCCCACATCGCGCCGTTTGTCACGAAAGGGGGCGACTGGTTGGCCTTCCAGGACCGGTTCGACACGGCGTATATGTCGGTCGGCTGGTCCATGGAGGAGGCGTTGGGGGCCCTTCCGACCTACCTGGACGAGAAGGCGATGCAGGTCTTCAAGTCCATTCCCCCGGCCGATAAGGCTACGCTTCCGACGGTGTACCTCCGGATGGCCGACGTACTCGAGCCACCGTCCAGGGCACGCCAGAAGTTTTCGCTACAGCGGCGGGAGGAGGGGGAATCGCCATTGGTCTTCCGCTGCTCGCTCCTGGCCTTGGCACAGGCCGCATACCCTGATATACAGGGCAAGGCGCTGGACTCGATGGCCCTGGAACGGCTACTCGACCTGGCACGTGAGCTGGGGATCGCTTTGTCCATAAATAGCGATCGCCAGATCACGTCATTGGCGGTGGCCGAGAATATCCAGGCGCACCTCTCCCTCCGCCAACAGCCCTGGATGGCGGCGTGCGCGG